TTGCAGCGAGGAGGGCGCGTCGAGGTCGCTCCGGCGCAGGGCGCCCGGGGTCTCTGCGCTTGCCATCGAGTGCGGGGGCGCGGACGCTGCATCGTCGCTTCCCAGGATGGCCCCCCGGCGGACATGGGCTCCGGGGGAAGTGGCCGCTCCGTTCTGAGCTGACTGGGCCTCAGGGGGTCCTCCCGGGTCGGCATTGTGCTTGCTAGTGGTGCCCTCAGCCGCTGGTCACTGCGGAGATTGTGGCAAGGCGCGTGTGGGTCCCGTTTTTCGGCTCTTTTTAAAATGACACCTTCTGCCCAAAGAGAAAAAGCCAGCTCTGTCCACGGATGGTAGTAATGAGGTGGTCGTGGAACTTCCTGGAGATGGGGCTTGCCTTTCCGCTGTTTTTTCGTTTAGACCTCTCCCTAAAACACTCTGGCTTTTTGGAATTCAGGTCCTGGTTCAAGGTATTTAGTAGGTGATTTGTGTTTGTTTTATGCACACCCATCTTGAAATAAATATTTTGGCCCACCTGAAACTACTGTTGGTTTGACTATGATTTTCGGCCTAAAATGGCTAATCCCCAAAGACCAAGGACCAGAGCTACTAGCTGTATGCATTACTGTCCAGTTATTACAGAGAGATTCTGCGTTTGTCAAAAGGGGATTGAAAACTTAATCGAGATAGGAACTAGAATGCTGACAGATCGGCTGTCTGCTTTGTAAAACAAGCTTGAAAACAAGTCGGGAGTTGCGAGTAGATTCAACAGGGTCCAGAAGGGGAAGGGCAGTTAAGATCGGGAGTGAATTTTACAAGGGTGGAATTCTGTACACTGTAGTCTTTAAATGTATAAACTGCAGCCTTTGATGTATAAATTACATGTTAATTCTGAAATTTTGATGTACTCCTGTGTGGGTAAAGTTGTGTGTGTGTTGTGCACAGTTCACCCACAAGACAGGCTTTACTCTGTAGCCCAGAATGGTCTGGAACTGAAATTTTCGGCCTCTGCCCTCTTAGTTCTAGGATTACAGTGAGGATTGACGCCACACCCTGCGAGTAAAGTTGTTTTTTGAGGAAGTGGCTTTTCAGGGTTCAGCTGTGGTTTACCGTGGTGCAGGTGGTGTGATTGGTTACCAATGTGGTGTGTAGGCTAGTGGGATTCAGCAAATGAAATGAATCCAGATTCTAAACAGTCTCCAAGCATCTTCATTTTTAGAATCAGTTTTATACAAACTATTTAGATTTTCACTTAACTCTTGGTATTATCCGATACTGTTGTTTAGTTTTGTTAATTTGCCACAAAAAACCTGTGCCTTTCATATAATCATATTGAATCAGGAAATTAAGTGTGGAAATGCTTCAGATGATGCTGTGCTGTCTTGGTTTTCGTGTTAACTTGATACAGGCATGAGTTATTCGAGAAGAAGTAAACTAAATTGAGAAAAAAGTGCACCATATTGACCAGTGGGCAACTCTGTGGTGCATTTTCTTGATTGATGATTGATGTGAGAGCTCACTGTGTGGGTGGTGCTACTGCTGGGCCGGTGGTCTGGGTGCTATAAGAAAGCAGGCTGAGCAAGCCCTTAGAGCCACCCAGTAAGCAGCACCCTCCATGGCCTCTGCAACAATCAGCTCCTGCTTCCAGGTTCCTGCATTGAGTTCCTGCCCTAACTTCCCTGGATAATGGACTACAAGCTGTGAGATGAAATAAACCCTCCCCCACACACGTTGATTTTGTGTTTTATTATAGCAATAGGAACCCCATCTAAGACAGGTTCTCAGATAGTTTGACTATATGAAGCTCAGTTTGTATTGATTGTTCTTTGTGCTTCCCTCTCAGCCATGTTGAACTCTTAGGTATATACACAGTTGAGACAGTAGCATTAAACAAGTCATTATTTACTCATTCAGTTTCAACAGTTAATAGCTGGATATCTACAAAATGTTTCATTGTGTACTTGTAAACATCTAGAAAGACTAGACATTCCGAATAAGGACATAAGTTTGTCCTGTACGTGCACATTAATGCTGAGTAAACTACACACATAAATGATTATGTCTGAAACTGCCCCCCCATTTTGAACTCACAGAGATCCTCCTGCCTCTGCTTCCTGAGTTCTTTTCTGCTGATACTTTTTATTTTATTTTTTAGTCTAATTTGTAGTCTCATGTAGCCCCAAGTTGGCCTTGAATTTGCGATGAGAGAAAGCTACCCTTAAACTTTTAAAACCATTTAATTAAAAGTTTTTATTTGCAAGTGTTTTTTCCTGCATGTAAAACACTGTGGACCACTTGCATGTCTGGTGCCAGTGGAAGCCAGGTGTCAGATCCCCCTGAAACTGGAGTTGCAGAAGGTTGAAAACTGGCATGTGGGTATTACTGGGACTTGAACGCAGGTTTTCTGGGAAAGTAGTACTTGTGTGCAAACCACTGATCCGTATCCAACCCCAAGAAATCAAAGTAATTAGTTAGAAATTAGCAAGTGTTCTTAATGGCTGAGCCGTTTCTTTCCAGCCTCAACCTTTAAGTGATGATCCTGTTCCTTGTACCCTGGGAGTGCTGGGATTACAGCGGTTTGTGCCGGGGTATGCAACCCCCCAGGACATTGTGCTTGTTAGGCAAGTGCTCCGCTAGCTGAGTTACATCCCTGCCTTGAAATTGTGTTCTAATAGCATCTGTCATAGGATTTTAAATGTTGAAAATTTCAGTATCGGGACTGTGAAGTGCTATTTCAATGAGAAATAGGTCTGTGCGTCCCTAATTAAAAATCCGGAATCCCAGGTGCTCCAAAGCCCAACACAACTTGGAGTTTGGAGCTTTTTTAGGCTTATTTATTTTATGTATATAAATGTTTTGCAAGCAAAACATTTGTGTAGCACATATATACCTGGTGCTAGAACTTACCAGAAGATGGTGTCAGATCCCCTGGAACTGGAATTACAGGTGGTTGTGAGCTGACATGTGGGTGCTGGGAATTGAACCTCAGTCTTCTGTAAGAGCAGAGAGTTCTCCTAACCACTGAACCAACTGTCTAGCCCCAGGACTAGGGGGAACTCAGATTTGGAGTTTTGTTGTGACCCTGATGTGATGAGTTGTCACAAATGCAGGCCTGTAACACATAGTTTACTAAACATCTCCAGAGCAAAAAGACCCTTTCAGTTCCTTTAATTGTGATACACAAACTTTGTTTCATGCACAAAATTCTGTAATCCTGTGTAGGGCTGGATGATTAACTCACTAGCCCAGTACTGGAGTAGCATGTATGAAATCCTGGGTTTGATTCCTAGCACTGTAGTGAAAAAAAAAATGCACACAATTACACACAGGCTCTGTTTATAAGATGTATTGTTTAGACTGTAGTCCTGTTTCTGACATGTAACACATGGGCAAATATTTCACCCTGACATCAACTCTGATCCTATGCATCTTAACACTTAAACTGTGTTTAGAAGCTGCAATTTGAGCATTTGGGTTGCTCCTTGCTGTACCAGTTTAATCATTGTTTGAAGTGGAACTCACTAAGGCCAAAAAGCAAGCCAACAGGGCTGGAATTGTACCTTAGCTGCTAAAGTGCTTGCCTAGCATGCATAAAACTATGGGTTCAGTTTTTGGCATCATATAAGCTGGGTGTGGTGGCACACATTTGTAATTCAAACACCTGGGAGGGGAAGGCAAGAGGATCGGGTCATCCTTAGCTTTCTTTATATTGAGTTTGAGGCCAGCCTGGTCTGTATGATATATTTTTCTCAACAAAAGTGAACAAACCAACAAAACAATAATAATTGAATTTTACATAAGATATGGTTACTTCATATACATAAATATTTCAATGTCTTTTTAGTTTGGTCAGAAACATGCTTCTTAAAACAGAAATTTAGCATGATTTTTAAACTTTAATAGAACTGTTTGATAGTTAATGTTTGTTCTGACCTTCCACAGTTAGGAAATGTGGAAAGAGCAAAACGAAACAGGTTTAGTTCGGTTTGCCTTTGATCTTTATTTTTTCAGAAGTACAGTTTAAAACAGTTGGTATGAGTGACTTGTAATGTATTGATAACTTGCTCCTCTCAGATTTGGAGGGGGGACCAAAAACCATCAACATTGTTACTGATACTTGTTTGCTTAAAACTGTTGGGCTTGTTCAGATCTGACTTCATATGCATCTGTGCTACTGAGGGGCAGGGGAAAACCTACATTTTGAACATAGGAGTGGAGTCTGTGGGCCAGTCATCTTGTGATGTTGTGGCTGGAGAGGTGTCTCTGTGGTTAAGGAAAGCGCTTACTGTTCTTGCAGAGGATCCAGAGCACTCTTCTGAATCACCACAGGCACCAGACATGTATGTGATACACATGCATACATGCAGGCAAAACATTCACATAAAATAAATACATCTAAAAA